CTCCGAAATCTCCAGTGGAAACATTGCCATACCCATCGGCGTAATGACCTTCTCATCGGCCAATCTCAGTTGTCCATAATTTCTGCTCAAATCTGGTACTCTCTGGCAACTCGAGAAATACCTTGCTACTAAGTACGGAAATAGTTGCTCCTGTATCCAATACACTATCTATCTCTTTACTATACAGAGATACCTGTAAAAATAATCCAGCATTACTTGTATCTTTAATCTCAAACACACATCGGGGTCCCTCTTTGTTTTCCGTTATACTTTTACCATCTTTTTCCTCTTGGGTTGAACCCTTACTAGTTTAAATGACTCCTCACTTCAGTTTGTGACGCTGAATTATTACTGTCAGGACCATTCTGTTGATGAGTTCCATTGGGTTGTCTCCCCTCCCTAAGTGATTGTCTCTGTCTTCTTGGCTCTTTGCAGTCTCTCATGATAAGACCTGGTTTTGAGCAGTTGTAACAGGTACGCGTCTCTGTATTCGTTCTACGTTCCTCCATTTTTGCTATGTTGAAATCATCTTCCTGGTCATACTCATCAAAAGTCTATTGACGTACAGTGTGACGAGCTGTGCCACTTTCCTCTGGTGACTCACCAGAAAGGCTTCATATTTCAGGGCTGCATTCAATGCATCATCAATGTTTTCAGAACTTGACTGGCATACTGCCCATTCATGTCTCTATCTGTTACGGCTTTTCTGAAATATCTGTAAGCCAAACTTTCTCTCACTTCTCCAGGTGCTGTATGATACCCTTATCTCACTAGGCGTTTGACATCTTGGGCCAGATCTGTCAGACTCTCATTTGGTTTCCTAGTCTTTGAGATAATTTGAGCTCTGTACATCTTGCACTGACTTTTCGGTTCGAACCGAGCTGTTAAAATGCTGACCAAACCTTTGAATGATTGCATGTCTTCACACTTAAGATCTGATATGACGCCTCTTGTCGTTCCATTCATGGATGTAGCCAACTGATTCAACCTGGATATCAATTCGTAGTGACTCAAGTAGTCAGTCCAACTGGATGTGCCAGGTTTGGTATATCCACGTTTTGGTTTCTTACCATCATCTGACTTAGAGTTCAAACAGATGGTGTTGGTTGCTGGTAAAGCTATGCTATTACTATGGTCCTTAATTATTTCTACAATTGGTGCATTGGAGCTGGTATCCTGTCCAATCCCCTGTTTTGTTGGGTTGTCATGTTTCTCTGTAGGATTTTTCTCAAGAACACGGTCAAGACGTTCTAACACTTCTGATAAGGTGTTTTCTACTGACTTGTTTTCTACTGACTTCTCTAACTTTTCATGAGATTGGACCATCTTTTCATGATATTGAACAATGGTAACCATGTTACTATCTATATAATTCACTTGATCTTCTAGAGCCGCCACCCTTTCTATGGTCTTTGCTAGTTCTGACATCTCTCCCTGACTTTCTGACATACCAGTATTAGCTACACTAGCATAGTCTACCCTTGACTGTATTCTGCTTCTAGTTCTAGGCATGTTTGCAATTACAAAGAAAACCTAAATTAGTCTATGAGTTTACTTAATACTTCATGTTAGTTCTACAAAGTACGCTACCAGTACTATCGGTTCAAGTCGAGCGTTACCAGCTGGCTTTTATTTACCGAACTCGATCATTCATAAACACCCGCTATTCGGTGATCGCAACTCTAAACCGGAAATACGTAACAACTGTCACTCTCCATGCGCACTCTCACAACAATGGCAGCACACTACAGAACACGCACCAAGACTCGTCGATAAGACGGTTACTACAGTTATAATACACACAATTATCAAGGTTTATATGAACGGTTCAATTAATACATCAACAATACAACTATATATATCCTCCAAGCGACACAGCGCACTTACTTTGTTCTAAAATAACACTTTACCATTACCACTTAACATTCCTCGTGGTATAACCTAAACACTCGTAAATCTTACCAGGGATGTGAAGTGGACACTACACATCCCTGATCTGACATATCATATTTAACTCAAAGTTTCTCTCTCTCTGGCATTATCGACGACTCACACTATCAATACTAAATGTAATCATACAAAATATACAAGAATGATTTGTTGCTATTTCATTGAATAAGCAAGGTGCCATAGTGGTACATAAATTTGTATCACATAAAACATGAGAAAATATGAGGGTCAACTTCGTTACACTATCCATAGTGGCCGGTTACATTCTTCTTGTACATGTAGGTATGTCCAAGTGTCAGTAGTTCTGTCAGCTTAACGATGAATTAAATTCTACATTGATCAGGGGATTATTTCATAATTCATCAAATACGCGTGTAATTTATGTCAAAAAAGGTTTATGCACATAAAACACAATACATGTACCTCGAATACAATGAAGATTTTTTTAATTTTATTTTTTCATAAATAAAGTTAAGCTTACTGACACTGGTCTCTATCTTATACGCACTATAACACACAGACAGTATTAATTAACAGAAGTTATTGTTTCAATAGCAACACATATATGACGTGAAGGAAACTCGGTAACGACAACAGAACGAAGAACGTAATTATCGGCAGCAAATTTGACAAATTCATAACACTTATACTGGATGATAGTGGCGATGAAACAGATAGCTATGACACAGGCACAGCCAGCGAGGATTGCACAAAAATGACCGTTTGGATTCGATCCAATTTAAACCATTTTGTTGTGGCCAATAGCTCATGCCCAGCAGTGAAAACCGTTTAATCATTACATCTGATTCTATCATAAACACTACCTTCCCCAGTTTTTGAAACTGTAGCACCCCTGTAACATAGATCTACTACCTTTACTCCCTATCCAATAATCGATTCGTTTCTAATCAATATGGTAATCTAAGGTCAACACGATAGGTCATTGTGGTCGGTTTATACCAGCTAGTTATAGAAGTCAGGAATTTTCCGCCAGGTATGAACAAGGAAACCCGCAATTTGTTACAGTATTGACTGCTCCAACCGTTTCTGTAAGTGAACAAATAAACGCCAACTACAAAGGTCATGTGTATTTATTGCCTTCAGTTATGTGATCACGTGGACACCTCACAGATTATTTATTAGTTTGTTATAACTTCTACTTGGCCGATATTTATGACATTCGTTACGTGATAAACTTTAACCTACTAAAAAAGTATTCAATAGATAGTATCGGAACAATTTTGATGATATCTGATACGGGGTGCAAAGTACGAAACATCATGTACATTTTGTGAAATCTACAACGATAGATGAATGTTTTGATTAGCTTTTTGTTGTTTTTCCCTTCTGCTTACTTACCTTAGTCTGTGAGTAACAGAAGTTTAAAGAACGAAGAACGTAACACACAAAGATGATGGTAATAGATACAGTACGCCAAAATGAATTACACCGCATCATACAGCTGTTTCGCTCTTCTATACTAATCGGTGATGGTAGGGGCCAAACAGTTGGATAAACTACTTTTGAAAGTAAAAGGGCAATGTTGGGGAAAACAAAAAACAATCTTCCTTGTCAAAATATTTCTAAATATTTGTAATTGAACAAAGTAAAGAAAATGTCAATATTTATAATATTCGTGTTTAAGATAATTTCAAAAGCTCTTACCTCATACTATGGGACACATTATCTTAGATATTACTCCGTGAAAGATAGGATACAACTAATTAAAGCTGTCACGTCATGAACTACAACATAAAATATGGTTTTTATTACAATATTTTAAATACTGAAATAAAAACACCCTTAATATTGAAATTTGACCGGTAAAATAATAACTTTAATATAAATTATTGTTAACAAGACACTCATATAATATTTTGCAAAACGTTTATAACAAAAAGAATGAAAATAAAAGTCGAAAAATAAGCAGTTGTCTGAAAGTAAAATCGATATGGAGCCACTGGGATTCGAACCCAATACACATGATCAAAATACTGCGCTCTAACCAACTGAGCTAATCTATCATTTTGTAGATGTCTGGCTAAGTCACAAAACAGTTCTATCCTAAACGAGACTACGGCCACTATATATGATCATGAAAAACTGGAAGATTTGTGCTTTGCCTGCTGTTTGACAGGGATCCTTAATTAAGGTCTCAGACCGTATAAATGCACCAATAAGAATACCCATTAAGGATTCCTGATCTCCCTTTAACTGCCGTTTACATGTAACTATAGCACATTTATTTGGACCAGGATACCTCTGTTGACCAGGTGTTTCAATCGGTTACAATGATGGGATAACAATCTGAAGTCCATGGTTCGAATCCCGGTTTAGCCTTGCTGATATCTGTACACCCAGATCACTCTTGTTTAATATATTATGTTTATTGCATCATTATTTTTTTTTCATAAAAGTACCGCAAGGTATGGTTTTCTTCCCAGAAATGATTTATCAAGGTTATAGTCATACAGGAAAACAGTTTCTAATACTAAATAACAGTTTTTGAGAGTACGGAATCCTTAATTTTCATCTTCCAACAATAACGACATTACGTGTAATCGTTTCAATGCCAAGTGGATCCTATAGACAATGTGTCAGAAACATAAAAAAGTAGACACAATGTAATGAATATCATAATATTGTATTACACTAATGTTCAACTTTTAGAATATGTCTGTCATTGGCATAATAAGAGTACTGAATGATAAATAATAGAGAAATAAACTCGCCATTATGTTAATCATCCGAATCCCAGAGGATCGTATCGGTATAATCTATGATGATTTTAATCACTCCCTCCAATAGATACGTATACACGTAATCCGTGATGATGGACAAACACTGATGGGAATATACCTGTATCTGTTTAAATCTACGATGTACTGTTCTGCACACAATACCGACTTTATCAATTACTCATGAATCAGTTACGCTAGACAGCCTTTCGTCACACCTCACCAGGTAATGTCGATATTGTTAGTTTCAACTCTCATTAATTTTTTACATCCCAAGTTTCAAAAGACTACAAACGTCAAACGTGGGTTCTAGGATGGTAGTCAAGGGGTTTGTATATTGTGATCGGCAAGTCACATTGTAACGGACCCAGCAGCCTGTTGGAGAATGTTACAAAGCGAAGCCCTGAGCAGTCAAATGGTACAACATACACCTGAAAACGGACCAACGGGAGAGAAGGCATGCGGAAATGCCAATACACACTACAGTAGGAGTTGTCAGGAAAGGCCGATGGACTAACTTGATAAAATAGCGTTTATCTAGTACACAGAAATGAATCATATTAGGAAACATTCACTGACGGGACAGTGTGGTACATTATTTGTGATTTAAAATTTGTGAATTAAAAAAAAATAAAAAAATGATGGAATTAATTGACGGATTAGATACCAGACTAACAAAAACACCTTTGGTCGATGAAGGATATTTGTCGGGTCGCAATTCATGCGTTTGCAGCCGTAAAATCGTCCGGAAAAGAACTGGTACTTCGTCTGTTGTTACAGATAAACGCTCAACCGGGAGAAAGTCTGAGAATCTAAGCCGTTACAGCACTCTACTGTCCCTTGGGGATTTAGGGAGGGGATCTACATGGGCGGAGGTGGAGAGGGGAATCACAGAGGACAGCGGGAGGGGGACAAGAGTAGAGGCAGTGAAGGGCAAGGAAAACACAATAGATTCTAAACCGGAGGAGGCGAGTCGACAGAGGACAGATGTTACGAGTGGTTTTGGGGTGCCGTCTCTCTCAGACAGTGATGAATATGACACAGATTTGGAAGTCATAACTCTGAAACCGGCAGGTAAGTTACCATTCTGTTCTTTATCCTAGTAACCAAATTGTTGTCTTTAATGATGTTGATGCTCTGCTAGAAACAAGTTAAATCGTATTAAATGAGGGGGG